ATACACCTCTACAGTACTACAACTACTAGCTACTACTATCAGATACCTGTGACAATTAACCCATTAAGCGCCAGTGCTCTCCCCTTGACGAGTAAAATGGTCCGGCGTTAGACAGAGTAAAATACTAAAAGTAGGGTGCATCAGGGTGCAATGCCACTCAATGGGTTAAGCAGCCATACATCATACTTTATTCTTTCACTGTGTCTAACGGCAGACAATTTTACTCGTCAAGGGAAGAGTTGTGCACCCTAATGGATGATAATTATACAGTTATATCAACACAAGTGAAAACGGGAAATTGTGTGGATACAGAACCCGAAGGGTAATGTAATATAAAAAATATTTTATATTTGTTTTATGATATAGCATATAAAGTAATATAAATAAAGAAATTTTCAGATGTTTCTGTGTTGACATTGAATTATATCAACACAGCTCTTAGCCAATCAGCATTCAGCATTTACAATTGCTATATTATAACATACTGTATAACATACCAAGCAACAATCTTTCAAAACAAACTTATAACACTATTTGAGTACTGCATTTTTAGAAAATAAAACTAATCAAATATAATTACAATTAAACTAGGTTTAGGATTTAGGTACACAAAAAATAGCTAAGATGTGGCTATTAGTTTTATACAATCAGGTACAGCCTGTTAACACTTACCTATCATTTTCTGGCTGTAAAAGAGAATGTTCCAAATCACTATCTTCTGATTCAGTGGCTGACAGGGTTTGGTCTTCACGAAAACTGGTCATGACATGTGGTCTAAACAATTTCAGAATATATATTATCATATTCATAACAGATCACATTCCAGCAGTTTGGAATACAGAATCTTGTTATTAATCCTGAACATAACAAAGGTCAGATGCCTATTATGATAACGTGTATAACTACCTCATTTGTATAAAAGATTCATTGACTCCAGTAGCTGTTTCATCCGCGCCTTCGGGATCGTGTGATTCTAGTGACAATCTTCTACGTTTACTAACACTGGCCGAAGCACGATTTTCCACTTCTACACTTATTTGCAAAGGTGTAGATGCTAAAACTGTAAAATACAAACATAAAATAAAAATGTGAAGTAAGCTAAAGTCAAATAATCATCGTAATATTTAAATTTCATCACAAAACTTACCTGGAGAGTCTATAAAGATTGCAGTTTCTTCTGTGTGGTCTGTCTGTGTTTCAGCATCACTGCAAGATTTACAGATTTACATTATATTTTTTACACGTAACGGTCAATATACTATTAAATCTAAAACGTATGTATCGTACCTGCTTGTTAAGATTTGCTTCGTGTGTGTGTTCACATAATGCTCTAGAAGCATGGCAGTAAAGTCTTTGTCGGTCTTGATTTTTGCTTTGTCTCTCAGCTGTCGCCACCGCTGAAATAATTGCTCCTCAATAAGATATATCTTCGTCGCATCCCTATCAGCTAAATATTTTTTTCGTTTAGCCCTTTTTCTTCAGGTGTAACGAAGCTAAATCCACCAATTTCGCTACTAACAACACTTCGGGATGAGCTTTCACCTTCCTCCATGTTGTTTGAATACATAATTAGAAACACATGAAAATACACAAAATGCGCATGCGTAATTCAATTAAAATTCCAATGGTGAGGACATCACTTGTGGAATGTCGCACATGCGCAGAACGGACTTGACTTCCCCTTTAATTTGCCATCTGTTTCTAGTAACTCAGGAAAATTCTCATTAAAATTTTTTGGAATAAAAACCTTGAGTTCTCTTGATAATCGAGACAAATTACTGCCTAGGAAATCTCTAACAAAAAGAATTAAAAAGAATTGTCTTGACACCTATTCCAAATTTGAAATGTTTCACATATTACTACTTTCTTATATCTATATACTATAATCAAATCAAACCTATTGTGTGTGATACAAATTGTTAATGTACATTGTACAATATGTGTGTATATATGTATTTATTATATTTCTTTATATATTTCTAAATATATTTTTCTTTTGTACTATTATTTGCCATATTTAATTCATTGTTGTATATAGTTCTTATGGGGAATTGGCTCGAAAACTTTAGTTACTCCAATTCCCCAGCACCGTTCTCTTTCATGTAAAACTTTATTGTAATAATCTTGTCATATTTTTTTTTCGAATACAAATAAATTCTATTCTATTCTATTGTAAATTAATACCCTGTAAATTAATTTAGATTGCTCTGAAAATGTTGTATTGTAAACAACGAAACGTTAGCTAATGAATTTTTACTTTTATTATGTCTCGTTAGTTGCTTATAGGCCGTAGGATGAGCGTCCAAAAGATGCTTAGAAAACGGATTCCGTTGCACCCCTCGTGTAACTACGTAATTTTCACATGAATAAATAGATAAAAACTTACTTTATCAGAATCCGTTGCTCCCCAAGCGAAACAGGTGCACAATTGGGAGAAAAATCCCTCCAAAGTTTGATATTTTCGCGCTTCGAAATATTCGAATCGCCATTGTTTTGATAGCAAATACGCATGCGCAACTCACCCAAACTCGCACTGCGCACGCGCACAACCAACGCATATGCTTCGAAGTGCAAACACGCTCAGTTATGCAAATAAACATGGCTGAGAAGATATTTATAAAACTCGAATATCCTCATGTTTTATGCATTTTGATGGCGTTACGGAGCAACTTTGCAAAGTTACACGCCAAAGGCTTAAGAAATCTCTTGAGTGTAGGTCAAAATGGGCCAAACTTAAATGTCAACAAGCTGAAATAGCTAAGAAATCGGTACAAGAACATCGATGACGGATCTGTCAATTCCATAGATATAGGAGGTATAGATCTCCTATATCTATGGTCAATTCATACATGGAGAAGAACCCTGGCACCATTAACTTAGAATGGAACCATCATATGAAATGCTGGAAGAGATTTTGTGATCAAGAGAAGATCTGTAGATAACAGAGAAAAGAAGAAAAAGGAGAAGGAACTAGCTGTAAAACTGTAACTTCTACCGAAGAATCACACGTGG